TTTTTTTGTTTTTTATTTTTTTATTAATATATTAACTGAACACTTTGTTGTCAATATTGTGGCTATAATGTGTGCTTGATCGATTTATTGATTACTTTGCATTTTATTGAGAATTTAAATTGTATTACATCTTCTTTTAACCTATTCTTATGAATTCACGTACAGCTTTCAAGATGCGCTCCGTGCGTTGCGTTGTCGTGAATCATAAATAAATACTTTGCAGCGTTTCTAAACATTTTAATGGAAGTAGTCGAAAATATTAGGTGGGCAGAGACAGAATTCGAAATACTTTATTAGAAATGTTATCTTCAAAATAAAGTATTTATTTCAATTTTGCTTTCATTTATTTTGTTAATTATTTTTCTTCTCTTTTCGCTTTTAAATAAATATTCTATTTTTTCTTTCATTTTGTAATTGAATGTGTCTGTGTTTTTGATCTACAATTACTTTTAGTAATTATCGCAAATACATGCATGCATACCTAGGTATATATATATATATACTAGTATATGCATATATATATATATATATATATATATATATAAAACTACACTATTTGCATTGAGACAAGAATAAAAATTGTAAACATTAATTTAATTGCATCTAATTGTTTCTTGTTTCCAATATATGTATATATATATATATATATGTGTGTTCTTTTGTTAAAGAACAAGTAAGAAAATCTTGTTCGCATTAAAGCGAATCTTTGTTACCTAATGATGTAGTAAACGCTTAGCTTAGCTTTGCATTACACTATTGGCTTATTAGTATGTGGATTGCAATTATTTTTTTGAAATTCATTATATATTTGCGGTCCCCTGTTACGTAATATAGAATAGTAAATATGTAGTTTGTAAAAAATTTAAGGAAATCCTCCTTTCTACCTTTTAACCGTTTGAGTACCAGACGGTTTTGAAAAAACACTGTCGAAAAAACCCAAGCAGCGCGATCGCGCTGTTTAGATTTTATGTCGGTTGGTACGGTTAAACTTGATTTGCGGATGTCAATTAGTGACCTAAGCCCATTTTCTTTCTGCCATTTCAGAACACAAAAAAAACAGACGGACGATCGAATATGTTCGGAGTTTCATGCTGGCAATGCCTACATTAGGTAGACCAAAGTATTTTCAGCTTTCAAAGAAATTATTCGGACTCTTTTTTCATTCATTCAGTTCATCTCCATCTGAACGGAGTTATAATCTTCACTGCAGTATTTACTACATCAATTAATGAATACCTTATAGAGTCTGCCGGCACACAAAGTACATAAGCTACGCTCGTTTATGGTGCCCGTGCAAACTAAACATCTTATTTTTACATATTTAATTTTAATTTCATTTCAATGTTAATCGCATTACTTGAAAAGAAGTTAGTAAATGCATCTCATTGCATTGTTTTCAATAGAAAAATGATTAATACTGGCAGTGATTTTTATTACCCTGTAAATTAGATCTCTTAAGAACTTTTGTTCCGTTTTTTTTTTTTTTTTTTTTAATTAACGATAAGATTAGATGGGATCAGAAATGAAGTGATTCACTGGTTCAGTTCTTCTTTTCAGGCTTCACGTTTTAATAGGTGAATGGGTTCAGATAATCTTTTCTCTTCAAACAGTTCAACACGGAGGGGGCTTTGAGGGACTTTGTTTAGAAAGAAGCAAGAAAATTAATTGCACTGAAGTTTTTGTGAAAAAAATTGTGCTTCCAATAGGATAGAGAAGCGAAAAAGAGATGCCGCCTTTTGTGGTGTATTACATGCAAGAGAGATATTTCCCTTCGATCTATAACAGAATGTGAACGATTGTCAGCAATTGATCATCCCACCTTAGGTTCTTGCCTTAACAAGAGCCGAGGTCATATTTCTTCAAGAGAGGTAATTGCAACGTAACCGTTCAGCATTCAAATCATATCATTAAGCAGCGCTTTTTCCAATGCAAGTGGTCTATGCTCAATACTTCGCCCGGTTGTTAAAGCGCTACACTGATTGGCGGGTATTTTTGGAAAAACAAGATAAAAAGAAATAACGGGCCATGCAAACGGCAAAACGCTCGTATTATTAAAATTAAAGTTCGCTGAAGGAGACCATTAAAGGCGTTTATTCGCATTTCTTTATCATTCGTACTATAATCGAAAAAATTTTTCAAAACAATCACACATGAATAACAAGCGATGTTGATTTGAAGCCGGACGCAAATACTTATCAAAGTCATCTTAAATTTCGACGCCCGTAACTCATCAGGGAAAAAGGAAAACTTAATAGAAAAACAAGTAAGAAAATTATAATCGGCCGTAACCGAATCTTTTATACCCATTAACGTTACCCTAAGAAAGACAAAACAAGCAAACGAACTAAATATTGTGTGGCCGAGTTTTTTCTATTTTCTGCGCTACAGGCATGTCCTTTGAGAAATTTAGATCAGTTTCAGATTCCTTCACAAATTTGTAGGCGATATCTTCATTTTCGCAAACGGAATAATGCTTCCCATAGCTGCTATACAGGTGGGTAGACGCAGTGATGGACAGACGAACAGACGGACATGTTTAGGGCAATCACAAATTCGAAGCCATTTTGAAGCGTATTTTTGCGCTTTTTAAAGGTATTGAAAAAAATTAAATTTTGATACGCTATAACATTGGGTAGGCGTGGTCAATTTTTTCCATTTTCGTGCAGGTGGTACAGCATCACTCATAGAATATGCGTTTATATGCTACAGTAAAAACAGAGGTGCTCTCATTTTACGTAGTATTGCTGGTGTGTCTTTCAGCCGATTTGCCCCATCCCCCCAAAATTTGCCAATGTTTCCGCCAAAATTTCAACTCGAGCTTCATCCCTGCCGCCAGGATAATGCTTACACACTTAAAGCGATTCAGAATCTGATGCTGACCACGATTATATATACCTTGGGGGTTTTGGCACTTCTTTCTAGGCATTGCAAATGTTTTGACAAAATAAGTATACTTCTCATCCTTCGATGATGGATATAAAAATTAATGTAAGCAGTACTGAAATTACCGTTCAATACCCTACACCACTTCGTTTAATACTGTTGTTCGTATAGCGATATTTCCGAATATTTCCGAAGGGGAACAATGGTATTCGATAGCACTCGTCCTTAGGCCAAAATACGTCGGTGTACCAAATTTCATCAAAATTTTTAGAGAATTGCGAACTGTGGTCTGAACACAAAGAGGCGAGATGAACCGGCGGATGGACATGGGTAGATAAGCTTAGATTCATTCAAAAAGTGGCTCGGAATCGATCGGTTGGCCTTACCTGAGCGTTGTACAACTTTAATGTGCTGTTGCAACACACGCGGTATGAGGTACAAAAATAAGAAGTAAATAATATAAAACACATAAAAATGAAAAGAAGAAAAAAAAAAAAAGAAAAACGAAAAATGAAAACAAAGGCTGCTGAATTAATATTTAAGACTTCTTCGTTCCCAAGCCATATTTATCCTTTCTGAAAACTGATTTAAATGATTTCTTCGAATGCTTCCACCCAAGTCTCCATCAGTCTTTTTCCTGCCATAATTTGACTATACTGAGTTTATTGAATTTATTGAAGCTACACACTTCAGTGCAATTTAAACGTTTTTGCTTCTCAAGGGAGCAACAATATACTTTCATAGGTATGCGCATAACTGGGAAAAATTGTAAGATCTTATTGGCACTTGGAATTGAAAGTTGAAAAGAAATTGTATTAAAAATTAAATATAATAATATATGTGTAAATGTATATATTAAATATTATTGTTTTTGTAATACGGAGTTACCGGGATAAAGTTGATAATCTATGAAAGGTCCAAATTAAGTTTACACAAATTCCTATACACGAATACATAAACATTTATAAAAAAGAATGTATAAGTGATATAAAAAATATCTTAAACTTCTAAACTGTTAAAAATATACAAATATAGAGAAAGATTTTAATACTTATAAGTATATTACAGTGGAATACTTTGATTTATTAATTCATTTTCTTTTTTCTTTTTACTATATTTCCTTTTCAATGTCGTCGTGTCCTTATATATATAAATCAAATTATTAATATAAACATATTAAAATCGTTTACGCCCCCATTGTACAAAATTTATTAAAAAAAAAAAAAAAAAAAAATTTGTATAAAAATATAAATAGAAATAAATAAAAAGGAAATTATATATAATGGGAGAGTAATTTAATGAGGAGGAATAGTTGTCACTTATAAATCTCAACGATATCCTCTTTGGTGTATTTGTTGTTTCTAAATGTGCGTTGTACGCAGGAGCGTTGCAGGCCTTCAACTAATGTCTCCTAAAAAAAAAAAAATACAAAAGCAATTTTTGCATTTTATATACAAATAAAAAAAAAAAACTAATTCCATTATTTTGTGTAACTTTTATGAACATTTTACGATTAGCTATTACTTTACACAAAGAAAGGAAGACAGCAACAGAAAGAGAGAGAGACAGAGAGTGAGAGAGAGAGAGAGAGAGAGACAGAGAGTGAGAGAGAGAGAGAGAGAGAGAGAGAGAGAGAGAGAGAGAGAAAGAGAGAATGATACACAGATAGTATAGTACTTATGTCTTTATTCTATTGCAAACACATACACAAACAAACATTAAGCTTACATGTGACTGACATTTAAATGTCTCTACGAAATAAAATTAACATAAAAGTTTCTTATGATTAAAAAAAAACAAAAGATATGCTTAAAAGACAACATAAAATTCATGAATGTTGTGACAATTGATTAAGGAAGATACTTAAAGCTTATACTGACAAGGGCAAGATTATTTACATGGGAAATGATATAAGAGACCCTACAGTAGGGGCACAAAAACTAATACAAGACTTATGCTTATGTTAATAACATTTCGTTTAGGGTGAATTGAATAGAAATGAGGGGAACCTTCACCGCACACAATAAGCGCTTTTCCATTTTTGATAATCATTTTCTTTTCTTTTTTCGTTTTTTTGATTTTTTGATTTTTTTTTTTTTCAATATTCCCTCAAACCTCAAACAAAGCTGAGATCTCTTTGCCCGCAATGCGTTTAAAACCACCCGTGCTTTTAGTGATCACATCATTGCTGGAGCGTTTTTCTCCATTTATGAAGCCATTAGTGTTCGCTATTTTACTGTTTCCAGTATTTAGCGTTTCATTCGTATTCACTGTCTGGCTGCCATTGAGTTCAGTGAAAACACTTTTTCTGTTCGTTTCACTCACTGTTTCGCTAATCGTTGTGCTGCCAGTAGTGCTGGTGATTTTGGTTGATCTGTGACTTTGACTGGTACAGGTTTGCATGCTATTATCACTTTTTGCTGTTACAATATGAGTGGATGTTGTTATGGCTGTGCTAACAGATGATGATGTTGTTGCAATAGAAGAGGAGATGGATGAGGAAAAGTTACCACTTGTTTTTGATAATGACGATGTCGAAGTTAATAGGGAACGTGGCAAGACTTTTGGTTTTAAAGGCAAATCTGTTTTGCATTAGATTCGATCGGCACACATATGTTACGAAAAAGAAAATAAACAAAATAAAAAAATAAATAATAAATAAAGAAAAACTGAAAATTTGCAATAACTTTTTTCAAATACCAATCATATTCTAAATATTTTCCATTCAATCTCATCTCTTTTCTTATAACCAAAGGAAGCATTTGAACCTTTACTATTCTTCTTCTTCTTCTTCTTTATGCTCTCTTAAGTCTGTACACGATAATTTCATGCAACAATTTCTATAAAATATGTCGCGCGTCTGCCGTCATAGGGAGCAGAGAATATAATTTGATCGAAATTTTTGATAGATTCTTAGCGAAGTCTGCATCGCGATGTAAGCCAAGGATAGCACTTCATTGCATTTCTCTTTTCTATTTTTAAAAGGCAAAAATCACCTTTTATACCCTACACCATTTGCGGTGTAAAAGTATATTCAGTTTGTGCGAAGAAAGACTTGATAAGGATCCACCTTTTACTACATCGATCGATTAGTAATTATATTTTGAAGCGATCTAAGCCTGTCTATTTGTCTTGTTTGCTACCGTGCAAACTATAGGCCGCAATTTTTGGGATATTTGGTAAACTGATGTGTTTTGGCCCGAGGGCGGACGCTAATTGAAAATGTTTCGAATCCGATTACTTTTTCGACCATGTCCCATATAAAGCCTCGAAGAGAGAAAAGTCTACGTATGGATAAGTGTAGACTGGTGTAGAGAATTTAATGGTGGATCGCGGCGCTACTATAATCTTTTTGCTTGTTCTGTTTTCTTTGCCCTGCCCACAGAGTCAATGCGATGTAGTAAAGTGTATTCAACCAACATTGCCCACTAATAGCTATCGAGCATAATTACAATTGAAATTAAGGAATGTTTTCGACATAGTTAGAGAAAGATCTCAATGTTGACAAAGCTTTGTACGTTCATGCTATTAAGTTGAAAATGGGTATAAATATCTTGTGCGTAAAAGCAATGCTAGTGATATTCTGAGAACTTCGTCCCCTTTCTTCCTTATTGCTGGTGCTATTGCGAGAAATCTTGAGCACCTCTTTAATAATTTACTTAGCGTCCGTGTATATCTCATTACTTGTGTATTAATACAGGAGATATTTGAATAAACGCCTTAAAGCTGACACAAAAAGCGAATAATACAGTTATTGCATAAGAAGCTAAAGGGCTTTTAAGGCTGAAAAATTCAAACTGAATTTTCTCCGCAGACTTGAACGTGTTCGTGTCGTTTTACTTAACACAATGATTTGCTGAATTGCAGAAGAAGAAGAAAAATGTACATAGAAAACATAGTGTGTCTTCTGAGCCGTTTATGCTTCTTTTTCTTTAGTTTCTTTTTTTGCTCATCCTTTAGTTATTTCCAAGAAAGTAAATAATGCAAAATTTAACAATTAATTAATTAATGAGAATTTCATGCAGTAGACAAAGAAAATTGCAACTACCCTACATTGCGTTGCACTTACCCATGCGATTCAGACCGGCCGCAAGCTCTCTAACAGATTTCTTTTCACCGAGGGCGGCGCCTAAAAAGTCAGCAAAATCATTTTTATTAGCAAAAAAAAAAAAAAAACATTTCATTTAAATTTCATTAGATTGACTTGTCTTACCAGGGGTTATGCCTACAATACTACCACCGCCAGTTCCGCCTTGTGCTATGGCTATACCGGGAGTTATGCCCACAATTGAACCGCCAGTATTTTGGCCAAAAGGCAAGACTTCAACTTCTTTGGGAAGACTAATTAGATTAAGGGCACTACGTAGATAATATTAAAATTGATTGATACCTTCTTCCAATTTTTCGGGTGTCGTTTTAGTAGATTCCGAACCGTGATAATCGCATGACGAATTATTTGTTACTCCTGTTTTTTGTTCATTACTGCCTACCACAGACCAGGGTCTTGGCTTTTGCAAAACAATCGGTGTTCGTAGTATACCATTACCCGTTTTCATTATGACGCTACTGCCTTCCGTATGACTCTTTATTGAATCATTGCTGGGTGAACGTAGCTTATCCTCACGCGTCGATGAAGTTTTTAATAAACGTTCTGCTGCTGTTGGTATTTCTGGTCCATCGATATGATTGGCACCTCCACTTTCCGCCCGCATCTTAACTAGAGGCGATTTGCGACCTACTAAAGGTGAATATTTCTCTAGGTTGTCCGTTGAACGTGAACGAGTAGCCCACGCGGCACCCCGTAATAAAGGTGAGCTTCTTTCCAATTTGATCGGTTTGCGTTCCTCTAATATCGGCGTTGTTTCTTCTGACGTCATATGATCGTTCCCGTTGCGACTCATGGTGGGACTATCGGCAAACGATAGCGAACTGCATTCCTCCGAAGTTGGCGATACTAGGGGTGTAAGGGTTGTAGGTGTTACCGAACCGGGGCGAAAGAATTGATCAAGTCCCTCACCGATTTCCTTAGTAGCGCCGCCTTCAATAGTCACTAATGGTCGGGTGGGTGCTCGGGTTTTAGCACGCTTCGGACGTCCTTTGACTAGATGTTGCAATTGAAACGAAGCACTTGGCAATTCCGTTATAGAATCGCAGCATTCATCTCCGCCACCATCATCTAAAGCGCCACGACTACTATTCATGTTATCGCCATTGATTGAAGAATCACGTCGTGATATTTGTGACGTGGAACGATGCGACGACGGTGATTCTAACAAATCGGGTATATGTCCTAAACTAAGGTTTTCCACCACTGACTGTGGACGCACCTTGCGAGCCATTGAACGCCGTTTCGTTGGCATATGCGGGGTCGCCTACGCACATATACGGAGAGAAATGTAAGAGGCGGTAAGCAAAGAATGTTAATCACAGAAAAAAAAATAAAATAAGTATTCATAAATTAATATAATATGTAAGAACGAGCGAAAGAAGCATTCAATGAATGAATAAAATGAAGGCTGAGGAATGATGGGCAAGTGAACACATGGCTTTTTTCTCCTAAAAGCTTATCTTTCGTTTTTATATATACGTATATATAAAAAAAAAAAAAAAAAACCAAATTTTTTAGCAGACAGGTAAACTATGCTACAATTAACAAATAAAAGCAAGAATAATTACAGTGCGAATGAGGATGAATGGCGGTGATTGAATTGAATTGAATGCGATGCGTGATAGATATAAGATAATGAAAGAAAACGCGCGATTTCTTTTAAAAAGCAATTATGAAATTTTATTTGTATTAAAAAAGAATTGAAAAATAAAGTTAGAAATAAACTTGGAGTTTATACTATGAGAGATGTAGATATGTACGTATATATATATTTATATATATATATATAGATAGATATATATATATATATATATATAGAGAGAGTTATCTAGTGTATATAAAAAAATACACATATATATATATAGAGCTATTGTTTTTTTTTTTTTTTCTTTTTTTTTGCATACATATGGAAAGTGCTTTACCAAGACACACTACTTACAAGGTTCAGATATTCCAATTTCTGTATTTTTTAAGATATTTTTAGTTTTTTGTTGTTTTTGGTTTTTGTTTGTTTTACATTTTTTGATATAAACGGATGAAAACATGATTTGAACATATGATGTTTCGTGTTTTTGTATGGGTGTTTGTGAGGGTGTGTGGAAAGAGAAGGGGAAAAAGATAAATTAAATGAATTTTTATATATATTATATGATTTGGTTTGTTTTTTTTTTTTTTTTTTTTTTTTATTTTTTTAATATATAATAAAAACACTTAAATAAATAAATAAATAAATAAATAAATAAATAAGAAGAATTACTTTTTAAAATATTTATAAAAAATGTATATTTTTGTATATATATATATATATATACAATTATGTGGGAATGTATGTGTATGTATGTTAGAAAAGAGACTATGACACCAGTAGCAGTACTACATACGCATACGAACACTTACTGAAAGACAGAGTAATGCATGTGATAAGTGTTAACTAGATGTGTGTGCGTGTGTGTGCCTATGTGTAAATAGTTGACTGCGAAAGTTTGCTCTAAACTAATGTTTAAGATGCATTCATGTGTTTTTTTTTTCTTTTCTTTTTTTTTTTTTTGTTTAATTTTATAATCTATATATATATTTTATGTAGCATGTCAACGTTTCGTTTTAGTTTAATGGCTAAAATAGTATTTGTTATTAATTTTTTTATAAATAATTTTTTTTTTTTTTTATGATTTCTTGTTATTGTTACTTATGATTTATTGCCACCAAAGTGGTGGTTTATGAACTACACTTACTGTTGGAGATTCTAACCCCAATTTAGGTAAAATGGAACCACGTCCTGGTCGTATCACGATACCATCAGTGTCCTAAAAGGTAATGCAACAAAATGTTATCGTTTTAGAATTTTTTTTTGTTTCAAAATGAAATTTTTATTAAATAATTACATCTCGGCCTTCAGACTTAAGGCCTTCGCTGTCATAGCCACATTACAAATATTTTATAATATGATAATTACAAGTTAGTTGTTATAAAACAAGTTGAAACATTACACTAGTACAAGATCGACAACTGGGTACCCTACCTACCTCGCTACTTCGTTTGCGTTTATTGCAATCCAAAGATAAGCATTTAATTAAAATTATGTTATGATTACGTAGTTCTCAAAACGAGCCTTCATATGCGAAGGCATCTGAAAAGTGAACTTGCATTGTCATAAAAAACGAACTCCCTTTCTTCATAATATACCAAAGTTCATTCGGTTTTTACCAACAAACGATTTATTCCTCATCTACTTTCGTCTTAAAATGCCAAAAAGAATGGTGTTGTTGCAATGGAGAAACTCCTAATAATACTATAGTGTGTCACGCCTCACTATTAAATACGGTACGCCACTGCTCTTAATACAGCTGTTCATGTGATGACTTTTCAAAACCAAATTTTATATGGAACACGTTCGAAAAAGTGGTCGGATCCGAACCATATTCAATAGCGTTCGCCCTTGGGTCAAAACGCATGAGTGCACCTAACATTATTGAAATATATTCGAAATTGTGGCTTGAAGGTTCAGCGCAAGCAATCAGGATAAACAAGCGGACGGACGAACATACATATTTAGATCAAGTCAGAAAATGATTGCGAATTGATCGACAAGGTAAAAGGTGGGTATATCTCAAGTTCTTCCGGGTCTCGCATACATCCTCGCAAACTTGCACCTGTTGAAGAAGCAGCTATGTATTCTTTGTGGCGATTGCAGCGATGGGAAAGTGACGGAGAAGTTAATTTCTTCCCAAACCAATTTTTCGAGTTATTTGTGCCGTTTCAACGTAAGCGCATATAACGTGCGCCGAAGCACAAACGACGATAGGGAGCACGTTGTTTTCGTCTGTTCGGTTTGGGCATGTTTCAGAACTCAGGCTTTTCAGGTCTCTGGAATTAGAAATTACGGCAGGTAACTTGTTAGCTTGCTTGTAATATAAAGTGACAAAAAGCCGACATCCGAACTTCTGATCTCAGCCAAGGATGGGGAAGTTATGACGATATAATTACGATCAAGAATCTATAAAGGTCCTTCTCGAGATAGTGCGGAAGCGGTTCCGGGATTGGTTTGACCAGAGTGTACTATGGCTAGTTGGCAGTGCGCTGCTACTAGGCCCCGTAAAAAAGAAAAACGGCCCTTGTACCATAAGTGTTGTTGCACATAACAAGCTAAGCGTAGCACATAGCCGCCCGAGAAAAGAGATTAATATGAGAGACGATTTTAAAATTTTCACAATATCAATATTTGCCCTCGGCTAGGCTAGGTGTACCAATATTGTACTAACAGAAAGCGTATACTACGCTTGCCTTGACCTCCTGGCACATACATACGAATTTCTTTTAAATGTACAGTGAAGCTTTTGAGCAATTAGCGCATTTTTGCTATCGATATCAAGGGGATTATTTATCTTCTCGCAGATAAGACAAAAAAAAAATAAAAATAATAATTAAAAAAAATCGCACTTACGTAAAAGATATGTGTTGAAAAGACTGATAAAAACAAAACACCTTGTTTGTTCTATTTTGTAAAGTGATTTCTAAGTGAATACAAATATCACTTACATGACTTGAGCGACTCCGTACGATGTCAGGTGTTTGTGGCTCATCTAATAAAATCGATGGAGAATCAGCGATGCCAAGACCGCGTCGATAACGGGTTAAAGCTTCTAAGACTTCATCAGTGGCACGATCTGAGATAGTCGCCGCTAATGATTGTTCTATTTCACTGCAACAAAAACACAATTCAAAAATCAAGGTCAATAGGCGGCATTTATTTATTTATTCATTTTTAAATACTTTTCTACGGTCAAGTACTCAGGTAATTTCGCATCTGTTTCCTTTGGTTTTTTACTTTTATATTGATGAATGCTTTCCAATCTGATTGTTGGCTCTGAATGAATTAATTTTTCGATTAATTCATTATCACTATTAGTTGAAAGATTTTCAATATTTTCTTTTCTTAATTTATAAGTAGAGCCGCAAAAACAACAACAAATTGCATCGACCATACGTCCCATGTTTATTTATTTATTTCTTTCTTTCTTATTATAATTCTCTTATTGCTGGAGAATTTAGAAAATTTGGAAAATTTGGAAAAATTTAGATATTTAACGTTCGTTTCGTAATGTAACGCAGTTATCAAATTATGCCAGACGGGCTGGTTAGCGGCCAGCGACTGAATAAAAGTTAAATTATTATATTAAAAAGTCTAATGCAGCGCAAAAAGTAGCGCTAGCAGCAGTAGCAGCAGCAGCAGCAGCTGTTGGCCATAGCCACTTTATTTCTCTGAACACATAAAAGCTGTTACAGGTTTTCTTTTTTTTTTTTTGAACTTAAGTTTTGTTTTTTATTAATTTTGTTTTCGTACAATTCTTCCTCGAATTAATTTTATTCTTGATCAGCTTAAGTGCCATATGGGTTTTTTTTTGAGTATTTTTCTTAATCGTTCTCAGTGCTTGAGTGAGTGAGTGAGTAAGATTTTTTTGAAAAGTTTTATATAGAAATGTGGAAAATTTATCAAAAATTATGCATATATTGGTGAAAGCGTTTGAAAGTGCAAAGAGCGGGCTTTGCTAGCGAAGAAATTTATTATATTTAACTTATGGAATCGATTATTCATTCTCTCAATTTTCTCAACTCTTTGACGCACCTATTTTCTTCCCAAAGTATTACGAATGAAACTTTACTACCTTAGAATGGCTTACTTTTCGTGAGTAAGTGCATGCGCTACGAGCTTCGAAGAACGGATCAATGTGGTCCCATTCTTCTTCACCTATCCACATCATAGCAAACATTGTGTCTTTTTGGCACACAAAGACTTAGTTTTAATGAGGTCCCCCGTACGGAAAGGTAGCTTGCCGGGCGGGTGTATTTAAATTTGCTATAATAAATTTTTTTTTACTTTGTATCCATCAAAATGGGTTCAGAAAACGGTCCTAGCTTGATCAAATTTTTCACACCCATTTATGCGGGAAATTAATAAAAATTTTTAGATTTTCTTTAGTACCGACTTTCTTAAAAAAGGGCGTGATATAGAAAACTCGCCCTTGGATAAGAAGATATGGTGATGTAAGTTCATCAAGATGGCTCGAAAATTTTGATCTACAGGTTGAATGTAAAAGTATTTAGACGGCGGTTATCAGGTAGACATAAGGAGCGAGATGGGCTTAAAATGATTCTGACTGGATTGATATCACAAAATATAAGTTCTCCTTAGATCCTTCTGGGTATTCCGTGCAGCCGCACCAACCTGACAAGTATTGGTGAAGACTATACATGGAAATAAAATACAATTCAATTAAGTTCGTAGTTATAGGATGGGCCATAGAATTTGTATCAGAATGAAAAATAATGCGTTGAAGTTGTATCCATGGAAGTGTCCCGCCACGCCTTGTCTTATCCGTTTACAGTACGTATACAAAAGTATCCCTTTAAGCCTATATTCGTATCGCCTTCTTATCCAACCAGACCAACCAGGCTTCAAAGATTATACGCAAAAATTTTTTGAAATTTTTCCTTAACTGTGGAGTAATTAAGGCCATTTTTGCATGGAACTTTAACTTTTAACTTTATAAATTTTTTCATACAACCGCTTTCGATCCGCGATTTAAAAATTGTATAACACGTAATGTTTAAAGCTACGCCATCCTCTTCCTTCAAATACTCTTGGGTTTAACATTTTACTGAAAGGTAGCGAATTTACTAAACCAATGGACACAACTTTCGTTGTAGTTTGCTATCTCTTTCGATGGTTTTCATGGAAAATTGCCGAGTGGCAATAATCGATCTTGGACTTATGGTACACAAGTACGGCAATTAATTGTCGGCAAATCAGCGGTTCGTTTGCAGTGGGTAAGATATTGAAAGTATGATCCGTACGATAGTCTTGATTTAAAATGCTAATCTTGTAGGCAATAATACAGTGATATTCGTATATGATTCGTATATCAGTAGCCAGCCGTAATTAGTATTCATCGAAAGCAATCGAAAGCTTTCAATAAACAGCTCAAGTGGGAAAAATCGCTTCTTAGATTAACAACAAAGTAATTAACTGATGACTTGTTCAATCTTCGTTACACATGTTTTCGAATTGGCGGAGGTCCGACAAATCCTTCTCACTAATTACGCACACATGTCTTAAAGCTAATGTGCTCGGAGTATCTTATGACTGACTCATTCATTCGTACGATTATACACTAATGAATTGAAAAAGTAACAAACGCGTACATTCATTGCTTTTGTATATGAATTAACACTCAAAACAAACAAACACATGCAAAAAAAATAAATAAATAAAAATAAATAAAGAAGTAAAAGGGGAAAAATTGCTCAGATACTATGCCAATTAAAATTAAAATCGTATGCCTGAATACACATATGATTGCGTATATGTGCATATGAACATACGTACGTATGTACATTACAATTTGTGTTTTTATTAATTTATTAGTAAATAGTAAATATTGCATTTGTTGTTGATGCACTTACCTAACTCGGTTCATAATTTCACTGCCAGCATTATTTAATAAGCAATTTTGTAAAAAGTCTTCCGGTATTAGTAAACGCTCGCTGAGCATTTTACGTAAATCTTGTACAACCATTTGGCTGCCCAATGTTTTCGGGCATTGTTCGACGGCAGTACGTATCATTGTCTCCAAAGTTTCTTCCAAATAGCTTTGTATAGTATAACTCAATTCGCTGGCAATGCGTGTCAATTTCACTTCAACGGGATGAGTCTCACAGCGTACAGCTTCTTGTAATTTTGGCATAAGTTGTTTACAATTTTCCGCATCGTCTATTAAACGTTGCACAGCGCTTGACGAGGTGGTCGAATCGCAACTACTTTTTGCCATCGAAATCGTATCTTGAGTTTCGGCCACCAATTTATCAACCAATTGATGTGTAGATGATAACATAAAACCGTGCTGTAAACGAAAACCTTGGCCAGGAGTACGCTTAAGTCCGTTACAATTGCGTTGCAATAATTCTTGCATTTTACGCATAATCGCATCAGTTTTATCGGGATGACTTTTCAAATGTGGCGCGATATCGAACACCGGAAACGGTATAGCTCGCATATTGTAATTGTTCTCTAGAGCATAAACAATATCAGCGTAACCTTGCAATGTTATATTATTCTTATCCAAATAAATGAAACGCAATTTATTATTAATTTGCAAAGCTTTCGCTAAAAGACGAGCCCCCACATCACCCATGTAATTACCGCTAATATCTAAATAAAAAAAAGAAAATAAAAAAATAAATACAAACGTCATTATCCACCAACATTAAATAATTAATTAAGATTGCATATATGTATATATATATATATATGCATATATGTATATATATATGTGTAATAACTAACCCAGTTTCTGCAAACTCTGATTACTGCCCAAGGCATTGATAAAATCGTGTATATCGTTTTTAAGTTTATTCTCCGATAAAATTAATTCGGCCAAAGGGAAATCATCTTTTTGTATAAGATTAACTAGAGCATCCATAACTGTGGGTACATGTTTCAACTTCATGCCCGTTAAGCTTCGGCACATATACAAAGTGCGTATAGAAGGATTTTTCGAAATCGCGGTTAAAACTGGAGCTAATTCAGCATCTAAATCTATGAAAGAGTCGAGGAAAGGAGTTAAAAAATATTTTTTAAATAAAAAATATTTAATTTCCTTACTATTGTCACTAATATCTAAACTTTGTAAAACTCGAACACCATGTATACACGATTCTAAAACGTGGGCTCCTTGTGGACCCAAAGTGTTCCCACTTAAATCTAAATACAGTCCAGCTGTTGACTCGTTGCACGCCAAACCGAGCAATAAATTTCTAAAAGAATAACAAAAACGTCAGAAAATTATATAATGGATCGCGTTCGAATCTTTTATACCCGTCACCGAAGGATCTATTCTATTCTATTTCTTTATATCGGCGGTAAATTCGTCTTCTATCTATATATTTACTTGTCAAGTCCTTTTATTTCATACCCATTTCGGCACGACTGTGAACCAAATCCACCACGTTCGCGACGTTCGCGATATTCAGTTGAGAATTAAGACACTTAACTTGTCCTATGCTATTCTTCAACTTCCTTACTTAATATCCAATTAGTTATTCTGCTAAGAAGAAACAAATCCTCTACGTTATGCGATACGCATTTTCAGATAGATAATAACACATCTGCATACGAGGATTGGACACAAAAATTCGCCACATTCTGTCTTGTTCACCTTATGACTAATAGGCGGAAAATGACAAAAAAAGTGAAAACAAAGGGAAAATTTGATCACTTGTAACTTTGTGTGGACGTGGCCGTTTTCTTCTATTTTTTTACATAAAGTCCTACATAAAGTGAATATAGAAAAATTCAGCCTTACTTTCATTTTCATAATTTATAAGCAAATAAGCAAAAAACCACAGAAATTTTTGCTTGCGAGTTTCCAATTTACGGTTTGCAGTGCGCATGCGCTTTGATCAATTCGTGTCATTTTCAACACCAGCCTGCGTGCAATAACTTCCAATGGTTGTGGCAAATTTGTAACCGGTAGCTCCATTTTTGCGACCAGGGGAATGTTTACAACAAAATGACCGATGGACGGACATGTTTAAATCGGTTTAGAATTTGATGCTTGATTTAAGAATATATACACTTTACGGTGTCGCTGAAGCTTTCTTCTGGGTGTTGCTGCTGGGTGTTGCAAACGTTTTGTGACAATGTGAATAAACTCGTCGGTGATGGGTAGAAAAAGTTATGAACGGATTAAATAAAATCTTTGCAATACTCTACCCATTAGACTAACTGATGGATATAAAAAAAAAAAAACAAAAAAAACCAAAAAAACAAAAAACTTGAGACTTACTTGAGCGCTTCCATAGGTAATTTACAACCCGCTATATTTAAATGCTTTAAACTTAAAGTACTTGTAAAGAATTGTTTAAACGACGGCGGTATCTCTTTGCCTTTTTTTGTGCTAAATGAATTGTGAGAAACGTTAAGATGCGATAAGTGTGTTGCACAACCACGTAAAAGGGCACCAAATAGCTAAAAAGGAAAAAAGACGAGATTTCTAAAAATGACTAAAATGACTCGCTTCAGTTTCAGTTAGCACAATACATACATTTTCTAAGGTTATATCAGTCGAAGAGAGATCCAAATATTCTAAAACATTCGGTTGTGCTAAAAAATTGTGTAAATTCTGTAAAATAATATATATATAGAGAAAAAGTATTTATTTAATTTATTTATTTTGTTGTTTTTTTTTTTTTTTTTTTTTTTAAAAAGAAAACTGATTGAATATTTTTGGGAAACATACAGTTATATCATCCTTTAGATTATTACCACTTAAATCTAAATACGTTAATGAATTGGAAATGCTTTGATTGAGCGACAGCGAATGTGACATTTGATTGACACCTTTCGATGTGAGGCCGCAATGAGCCAAAGCCAATTTGCAAAGACCTTTTGACACTTTGGCTATCGGTCCAGCCAAATGTATTGCACCTAAAAAAAAAGCCAAAATCCAGCATAAGTTTTAAATTAATTAAATTAATTGTCACATAATTTATATATATATTTGAACAGTACAAAAATTTAAAGCTTAACGCTTGTTTTGCTAGAATCTGATGGAAGCAAGCTGTTGGTGAAAAAAATAAATATATATATAGAAAAAAAAAAAAAAAAAAAATCATAAAATTGATATTTACTTTAATCATGCAAGCTTCAACAATGTTAGTTACTTATATCCATTGTTAAACGAATTAATGTAACTGACTCAGTACATTAACAATAAATTGTTTTGAATAAATTCATGATAACCGTAAAAAAATTTCGATCCGGATATGATTTCGTTCATCGCACAGATAGATCAATTGGGGTCAAGTAGGCATAATCGTACTTTAAAAAAGGAGGAGGACAAATTCTCCACTTGTTGCGATATGACTGTTTTACATACAAGTCAGACGAATGTGAATCACGGTTCCTTCCATTCACTCTTCGTCGTTGAGTGCAAAAATAAGTATGTCATCACCAAGAAAATGGTAACGACGTTTCACTCGAAGCATTGTCCAATGCTAACTACACGTTTTTGCCATACGATATGAATTCCAGACCGAAATTATAGTGACCTTCTAAAGATATGTGTAAAAGGAGCCATCTCTGGCATGTCGTCATAAGAAAGGAAATGCCGCCCAGAAAAACGATAAGTCCATGAGGTGAAAAGTCGAATGTTAATCAAGAGGAGAAATGTCTGTGGCATACAGGTTAGCATATTTGAGTTCGTTTCTGCCAACAATTCATCCAACGGAGGACAATGTAATGTGAGACGAATGACGAGGCCTCTTCTTTAATGAACGGTGGCATTGCATAAATTGTTGTCGGTAGCGTTCCTCACTATTATCTTGAGCATCTTATAGTGAACTACTAAATGGAGATGCCAACGATCATCACCTTTGCAGGGGGCACTGACCGTTCGCCTAGTCTGCATCATGATTTTTTCGAACTGTTAATACGTGTCAATATTTGCGTATCCCTTTGCGGATTGTCTATTCTTTCTTGAGGTAGATTAGCGAGAAATGCGATATATATTGCTAGGGTACCTCATAAGCTGTTATCGGCCTAGCATAGTTTCTGCTGCCTAATCATAACCATATTTGGGCCTGGGGTGTCTTGAGAGAAATGGTATTCTTGAAAAAGGTCTAAAAAGTCTAACATGGTTTATTTATTTAAATATTTATTGGTAGAGAAATTTTAAATATTCTCTACTCAGAGTGATGGGTACCTGATGGATGCTAGAACGTTCTTAACTCAGAAAATACTTTACCAGCAATATCGAGACGACGAATCTTGCAGAACGAAATAAAGCTGAGAATGTAACAAAGACTCACCTACAGAACTGGTACATGTCGTTAGAAACCGTGACATGTACTTTTAAATCTTGCTTTTGTATCATACTTTCACCGGTGCCAGCACTAGCAGATATTGGCGTTAAGGGGAGACATGTTGCGATACTTGGAGGACCACTTTCAATTAAATTGATTGATGGGGCCTAACACGTACATTTTCTGTACATTTTCGCTACGGAGCCAACGTAATTTCCTACCTACAGGTCGTTGAGTCGATTTAAAAATTTATTTTTATCTGAACGTTTGAGATTGTACTCCCAGGAGTATATACTACTGCGTCCAAAAAGTAAGACCAATTTAATTTTTTCATTTTTAATCCTATTCTGGTTCCTTTTTTGCGAATGGCTTCACGCAAACGAGGTATAACATTGAAAAAATATTCCTTGTTAAGAGTTTGGCCCCGCGGAAGGAATTCATAGTGGACACTACCACGATAATCGAAGAAAACTATTAACATCACTTTAATTTTGGGACTCTTTTTGGCGAACTTGGCTCACCTTTTGTACGATATTCGCTCGATTGATCGGTTAATTGCGCTTCGCATATGTACATCCGAGTCTTATTTCATGGCCGATTGATAGTTCTTTGCCAAAGCCCCTTTCAAAGCCACAAATTGTAAAAATCGGAAAATATATATGTGCACCAGGGTATATTAAATCCGTGCGCATGTATGCAATACTCAGAAGGACCGATCGATTCAAAGGCATTTTCTGAATCGATATAAGCATGTCTGCCTGCCTTGTCTTTTTGTTCTTGACACCAACGTGTTTTGGTCCAGCGGCTAACGCGTTTGAAAATGATTCGGATCGGACGAGTTCTTCGACTATTTTCCATAGAATGCCTAATTTTGAAAACTTATTCTGCGAATATCTGTAGGATCGTGTAGGGCATTTATCGATGGCTCGTGGCCTACTATAGGGTTTTTATTCGTTTTTTAATTTGTTCTTTCAGCCTCAGTTTATACTTAACTTAGCCGGTTAAGTTGCACTATTTTAAGTTTCCGATTGGGTTGAACTGTTGATTGCAAAGATGATGCACGCACATATGCACATATTTTTCATTAAATTTGAATTAAAGTAAATATGAGCGTATAAATGCATGTGAGTACATTTCCGTTAAAAACATATATATATATATAGCGTTAAGATAAGTAAGCGCACAAGTTCGGCAAAATAAATGTGCATACATGTGCGAAAGTAAAGTATGTATGTATGTAAAACGCCATCAATGCTCTAATCAAGTCGCTATGTAAACTTTGTTTTTCTTTTTTTTTATTGCATTTACATTAATTTGCTTTTTTTTCTGACAAAAGAAAAAAACACAATCAAACAGCAAATATTGTATATAGAAAGGAAAAAAGAAGAAGAAATGAATGAATGAATGAATGAAGCTTAGTTTGAGATGATACGATTAAAACATTGAACATTGATTTTCGATTGATTAAAAAAACATATAAATCAAACCTTGTACAATTTTTCCAAGTAGGGCGCACAACGAATTCGCACCTACATACAATATTGTAGTTAACAGAAAAAAAAGTTAAGTATATAAAACAAACAAGAAAGCAAGGAAAGGGTTTTGATATAAAATTGGATTAAATATCATTTTAAGTTAGTTTGTTAGAGACTTTTTGTATTTTGTTCTTTTTTTTTTTATTGTAGTGTATGGGCAACAGTAAAACGGTCTTAGTTTTAATATAAATAAAGCTAATTATACTATAAACCGAAAGTTTGCACGTAAAGTAAGAGAAAAACATAAGCAATTATTTAAATTAAAATTTAAATACTTTCTACACGCACCACCAAAGAATACAGAGAGAGAGAGAGAGAAAAAGAGCGAAAGAGAGAGAGAGAGAGAGAAAGGCATGCTAGAGATTTGTATTTTAATTTAAATGACCTTACGATACGAAGCGAAAGGCTTATGACATATATATCGCTTCAATTTACCGTTAGAATACTAGTGGATAGAACTATTCGCTTAACCAAGCGCATTTGCCTGTTCGCTTGCTATCTTCTTTTTATTTTTGAGATAGATAGCAGAGTGGGTTTATTGAGCCATACACAATAAACAATCTGGACTGCAGTGTTGTTTAGACCCCTAGTTTATAGGGATTGTCTAGCTCTCTGAAGGGTGTGGGTTACGCTTAAATAACCTGTGTGCCTTGGGCCACATCGAAGTCATAATGTCACAGTTAAGTTTTTCAGATTCTTTAGTTTTGCAATTGCAAGAGACAAAAGAAATAGGCGTGTTATGGTAAATGTGAACAAAGTGAACCCATTAATCTCCGAGAGAATACTATTTTTTCCTGTGTTGAGGGAAGAGATGGTTTTTTTCACGTTTTACATGAAATGATACTTTTTTAAATAACAGAATTGATCAGAGAGGTCAGAAAATATCGATTGAAATAGGTAGTCATTCGAAGAAGTAATATCTGGGGGGACGATCAGACGCACAGACATGTTTAATTTGATCTGAAACGTGACTTTGAACTGATCTTAAAAGTGATTTAGAAAGTGAATCTGAGTTGATCAGTATAATAAAATGTGGCTCTATTTTAAGCCATTTTCGGTATTGATGCATTCGCGCAATTTAATATACTCTGTGTCCAGAATGATTTAGGGAATGAAAACCCTAAGATCACTTTCAAGATTCGTAATAAAATTTCAAAAATTGTAATGCAGGAAAAAGACACTTTTAGATCATCTGATTTTTGGATCTAACTTGCGAAGAGAGAATACAAATTATCTGAGCTCAAACTCTCGCCGAAAAAGGTTTTCCACATTAACGCACACTACTTTATAAGATTTAATGCACACCTCCAGATACATTTTCTTAGCCAGCATGGTTGTGACCTTAATAATTGGGTGTAAAGATTTGTCATGATTTATGATGAGAGAAGGAGAGAGAGAGAGAGAGAAAAAGAGAGATAGAGAAGGAGAGAGAAAGAGAGAGAGAGATAGAGAAGGAGAGAGAGAGAGAAAGATCTTGTGTAAATATTTATATCATCATAACCATAAAAAGTTGGAAAAATTGCCACTGATGCTACAGACACGCTTACAATCAATAAAATTCTAAGCAATTCTCCCATACGACCTTAAGGTGGTGGGTGTTACAAGTTCTCTTTAAGTAGAACTTTGGATTTTTTTTTTTTTTTTTTTTTTTTTTATATAATAGTAACGAGGAAATATTTGAGAAAATTGTTTACCTTTATCTTCAATTAGATTATGGCTTAAATCGATAGTACGTATTGCAGGATTATTATTAGTAATCACAGATACAGCCAACTTATGAAGAAAATCCGACCTTGACGTATATATAGATATATATATATTTAAAAAAAAAAAAAAAAAAAAAAAAAACATTAATACGAGCACTATTTCATTTTAAGGAAAATACTTACCTTAAACCTAAGGCTTCCAAATGCAACTCTTCGAGCCACATGGAACGCTTGAGCACATGTAATACGCGTTCTAAAGTCTCATTTGAAAGCCGCATATGTGATGCTTTTAAACCCCGAAAAAATGTATTATATTCCAAAGCCGATACAATGGCCATCAAGTCTCTGTTTATAGAAAAGATATTCAATTACTTATTATAAATATGTTTATGTGAATTTTTATCGCATTTTCTTAATACTGTATATACATACTTTGGTTCTAAATGATCGAAATCACGTAAATTTAAAACTCTTGTATCATGTGATAAATAAATGGTATCGATATCCCAGGCCACTTCCTCTCGATAGGGAACACCATGAAAATCGCACATGCAGGCGTATTGTGTGCTAAAGCCACCACATGGTCCAACGTTGCGGGGATCAGAGGGACGAAATTCTTCTGAAAATATTGTTTCTCGTTCGGGGGGTTGTATATCAATCTGTTTGAATTAAACAAAAAAAAAAAAAAAAAAAACTCATAGAATATAAGATGAAAGGAAAACAACAAAAACAATTATGAGAAAGATAAGAAAACTTCCCTCAAGTATCTAATTACACTTCTCCTTCGCACTAAAGAGCTTCAGAAGAAACTTGAAAAGTTACTGACCTATACTTAAAGAAAACATTTGTACACAAGAAACTATCAAAAAGAACTGTTTAAGGAAAAAAGAAAGCAAAAGAAAAAGGAAAGAATGGTTGTAACAGAAAAAGTAAACAAAAATCCTCTACAGACAGATAAACTATAACACAGGATAACTACATGTTTACAAAAATGCTTAAAAAAAAAAAAAAAATTAAAAAATAAAAATATATATATATATATATCTATATATATTTACCTCATTTTTAACACAAATCTGTTTTTTATGCGCGCACAATTTTAAAGAAATGTATTCATTAAGGTAAAGTAGAGAAAATAATTTTTATATATATATATATATATATATATATGTTTTTTGTACTCTGCGCCCCTCAAAAGTGCAGCTCAGAGTGTCTACAAAGAGTAGAAATTTAGTTATTTGTGTTTAGCACTTAATTAAAACTGACGTGCAAAAGAGAAAAGAGACCGAGTTGTGTGCTTCGCATTTATATATATATATATATATATATATATAGACATATATATGATGTTAGTGAGCAGCATGTGGCTGAACTAATTTCGCGTTATTCATTCATTTTATTTGCTGCATGTTCGAATACATTAACTAGTCGTTGAAAATCTTATTAATTTTACAAAAACATTGAAAAAAAAAAAAATAAAAAAATAAAAAAAAAATAAAGAAACAAAAAAAAGGCAAATTTAAACTCCTCATCTTATATATACATTTTCACTATAAAGTGTTTTGTAAGCGTTTAAATATTCATATTTCATGTCACGCAAACTTTTATTTTATTGCCTTTGCTTGTTTTGCTTTAGTTAAGCATTCAAAATATTGTGTGTGTGCGTGTGTGTGTGTGTGTGTGTGCAGTCATTGCTGACGAAAAGATCGCTTATGAATGAATATCAAGCAATGTGAGCAATTCGTCTTCTTTGCATACTATGTATGTTTATTATCATGTTTGTTGTTATTGTTATTTTTTTTATTTTTGCTTTTATAATTATTATTAATGATTTAACGAAATTGCGCTTGGCATTGCAAACACACCATATAAACTAAATGAGAATTCTTTTAATTTCCCAGAAGATATGCTCAGTTTACCTGCGAACTTTGAAATTATGATTGAAGTGTCGAGCGTGTATATGTATATATATGTGTATATAGATACCACAGCGCCTCAACCAATTTGATCGTATGCCTGTGCCTGTCGCTTGTGATGGGAATAATCAAGGATTTATTTTCTTTTCTCAATTGAAGACATTTAACCCTTTTGTACTTTGAACCTTAATTATTAACAATATCGGAACTTCCTCAATGGCTTTTTAAAATTATGGGCAAGCAGTTTTGATCTTTTGGCAGTGTTATATATTTAGCAATTTTTTTAATTTAAAAGAAAAAAAGTGCATTTTTATAATTCTCTTGACTTACATTATTTGCTTCTACTGATAATGTAAAAGCGAAAAAAATCTATCCTTGATCTTGCTAGCCATGCGAAGAAAAAAAATTGGCATTATGCTAGCTTTCCCAATGTGCGTGCATGTCAGTGTGGCTTTTATGCAGAAGCGCAGGTAACGAAATATTATCCCCAGAGAGATATTGGTTCCTCCGATGAAAGAGTACAGTAAAGGCTCATAAGCTGCTATTCATTGAACAGACTAAATTACAAAAACAAAATTATCATTGCCGGCCGAATACCAAAACAAATGGAAACTTTGAAAGTGCCTTAAGAATTGCGAAACATACTCTTACACAAGAATAGTCCAGATCTGGTTGCGCTTTCTTATGTCGTTTGAATTGTAGGAATCCCTAAAAACTGGCTTTTGCATTTTTGCAGAAAATTAAAACTCTTCATAAATAGTTTGAACTGGAAGATTTGAAAAGTATATAACATTATGAAATTATTTGTTAAAGAGTCCAAGCAAAGAGCGGTGGAATTTTTGATCATTCCATTAATACGGCGATCTATGAAAAATAAACATTCCTTTCCTTAGTACAGTTACAAGGCAAAGCTGGAAAATAATATCAAATTAAGCCGCCTCTCGTCATATACTCAATGTTTGGAGAGCAGATGCTACCTCTGTGTGTAAAACTTGATTTGGGCCTTCGTTTCACATTATATTCTCTACAACAATTTTTTTGTTACTATTATTGTTTTCCAGGGTTTCGTGGATTTGACGTTTCTTGTGTACATCAATCTATCTATTTTTTGATTTATTGCCAAATATGTTACGTTTTCTAACGTAATATAACTTTTTCGACGCAACTTACCTTTCTAATGATGTATTTTAAAGGAACTGTGGGGAAGATTTGTTTAATAGCTGATGCCAAGTCGGTTAAGATTACATCGGCGTTCTGTAGACATGTTAACAAAAGAAAAATAATAAAAGGTTAGATATTTTATATTTAAGCCTACTTTATTCATTATTACGTCAAAAAAAAGGCTTATACTAGAGCCAGGATTGCCAAATGTTTTATCATTCAAGTTTAATAAAATTAAAAGCACTACGGGCTTTAGTATAATCAAAAGCCAGTGGAACTGGAAAGATCGCAGATTTATCGTAAAACACCCGCCAATTGTCTGTGGCCTTCAAGATGACAGAAAAACTAACATGCGCTGACAATCTCAAGGTTACAAAGTTGAAATGCAATCGGAGACTAAGCTGGATGTCCCCATATCGCAGAAATCTAATATTTTTAAACCGTAAGTCGTTGCTTTAAGTTAAAGCAAAGCAAAGCTCATGATTTTTTCATAAAAAAAATGATTTAACTGTAACGACGAAGCTATCCATAAACCGAACAGAAACAAATGTTAAATATCGAGAGTTGTGACATAATATTTACACGCCCTAGAGTAGGCAAAGATTTATTTAACTTCTACAATCGTTCTTTAACTCGTAAATTTTGCATTTGTTTCAACAAGTAATGATCTTTTTCTTGCTTTTATGGAACGCTCGACTTCTAAGAACGCTAAACATTTTTGAGTAAGTATTCAATTGCTACCAGTAATGCGGTTTTTCCCATAACGATAACTGTTCTTAACAACTTTTTTGCTTTACATCTTTCATGTTAATGTTAATTGAACTACAAGCGAAATTCGATGTACAACTCCGATCCTAACCGCAATCCGGTCAAGATAGTTTGACGGTCAGCTAGCTATATGAGCGTTTGCTGGCAATGGACGTGTTGCCTGTTCTACTGCTTTTAATGGTAGAAAATGGGAGAAGGAAAAGGAGTTTTGTGCTTGATATCGATATTTGCCCATGTATTAGTTGACTTTGCCGACCCACACGCGCACAAATATCCTGCTTTCAAATAAGATCTGACCTACCCCCTATTTAATGTTACTTTAGATAATCCTACGATGTACAGTTTATAGTGGCATTGTAATGGAGTACGTTTTTTCGGTGCTTGCAAATTCTATATTCCTTTATTATATCCTACACCACCTGTGGTACAAGGTGATATGAAGCTATGCGTATGTATGCAACATCCAGGAAGACTTGAGATAGATCGATCTTTTACTATACCAGTCGATGCAGAATTGATTTTTTAATCGATCTAACTTTGTCTGTCCATCTGTCCATCTTATTTTCTTCTGTTCAACCAACAGTCGGAATTGTTTGGAATTTTTTGAGGAAATTTGTCAAACCATGGTGTTTTGCCTCAAAAGCGAATCCTACTAACAATAGACTATATGCACACACACATATATATGTCACTTCTGTCTTCAATTAAATGATATTGTTTACGCCACCAAGGTTAGCTATTAAGGGAGACTTGCATGATATCTTCGAGTATATTTATAATTATAATGAAAATATAAAAATCGATAATTAACAAAAAAAAAAATAAAAAAAATTAAATATAATAATCAGTGGCACAATGACACACAACTTACCGAACTGAAATTGCCCGCATCACCCGTTGTAGCAAAATTATACGGACGATCATTCGTTACTATGCAGAAATGTGAAGGCCTTTTACTTTCTACCGCTTGTATGTCCAAATAATGAAAATGACATTCAATCTGTGAATGAATAGTAAATAAATTAAGAATGAATGAAGAAAATAAGAAATTTGTTGAAAAGCAAGTGCATTAAGAAAAAGTGATAGACATCATAACAACAACAACAACAACAACACATATAACAATATACCTTTGTGGGAACTTTTGCTATAAGCAAATATATACGAAACGGTGTAAAAACCTGTAATAAGACAAGAAAATGAAAAAGACAATCGTTAAGAGAAACATGTTTTGTGACAATTTTTGCAAAAAGAAAAAAGATTATTTTAAATTTTACATACGCATACGCACACACGCGTGCAAATCAGTCATTACGCGTAGAATATCGTTTTTATAGCGCGCCCATAACACCATTTAGGTCATAAGAAGTTGTTTCGCTTTTATACGCATCAGTAATTAATGGCGTATGTATGTATGTATGTCAGTTAAATGTTTGAAGTAAACAGTACGATACATAGCTTCTAGCGTTCGTCTATCCGTCCGTCAGTCTATTAGCGAATTTCTTTTAGTCGTTTAGAATATTGTCGACTAATATATCCCAGTTTATGATATTAAAAAAGAAGTTACACACACACACACAACCAAACAAATATAAGCATAATAATAAGTTATTAGTATTTATTTATATAAAAGGGATAAATTGTAAGACAAAAAGGCGGGACCGGCACAAGTAACCAAAACTATCGGCTCTTCTTCAGATACTCTTAGCTTAAGGACCAATTAAATGGAAATGCATTTGTTTTAAGAAGTGTTTCCATTTTGTTTGTTTTTTTTTTGTTTTTGTTTTTGTAAGATCCACATCCTAAATGAATTCAGTTTCAGTTTATGACGTATACAAGTTAAATGAGAATAACGTGCCTGCGAGAAATTTTTTAACTAAACAAAGGTCTTTCCGTATAATTGCGTTTACGTGATTTGTTCTTTTATGCAGGTACAAAAGAGTCCTTTTTCCAAATCAATAACTAGATGGTCACAGCCTAGCCCGTCCGATAAAGTTAACTGTCTCCATGATATAATGCTTGTCAGGTACTTTTGCGATGTAAATAGAGCTACACGCTCGGCAAATGGGTCTCCGAATATTGGAACAGTTTCGGCATTCGTAAAGGGTGCGTTTAAGCTTTAGATTATGTCCGCAATTGTAAGTTGGAGGAATAGATTTCTGAAGGATTTTTTGCTGTGTCGTCATATCATGACAAAAGTGAATTTTTGCAAATATTTTTGTCTCGATAGTCTCAACATTGAAAATGTCTGCAGAGTGGATGTGGTAGTACTGTCGATTATTCTCCTTAATTTTTTCTTCACCTCTTTTCTAATATATTTTTAAAGCTCAAATTATTCTGTTGCGCTGTTTGCAGTCAAAAATGCCGAAGTCACTCATTTCTTAGGAGACCCACATGACTCGCTACCTAAAAATTTTAATATTGTCCCCGTTAGGGGGATAATGTTTGATTGATAGGATATCTAGGATTCGGGGGCAAGCGCACGTTAAATTTTTTATTACTGCGATAATGTATTTTTATTTTTTTTTTTTTTGTTATATGACCAGCCACAGAGGTGTAGCACGGGGAAGATTAGAAAGAACTGCGAAAAGAGAAAGAGATAAGGAGATAGTTTTTAGCTTTACTTTATAAGTATAGTCTAATGAGACTAAGATAAGTAGAGTATAGTGAGAATAATGATAGGCTAACACTAATCGGAAGTATATCGTAAGTGCTATATTAGCTTCACAGAGTAGTTCGCATTGAGTTGAAATCTTAAGTCAAATCGCTATCATTTATGACCGGAGAGAACAACAATGTAATCTGAAATCTTTTAAAGAAAAATTCTGTAATAGTTAGCCTCAGTGCCAAGCCATGTGTGACAGCAATGCGTGTTAGGCCGAATAAAGCCGCCCATCCGAAGTCAGTGATGCAAGAATTAAAAATAATATGCACAAGTACATGCAAGTTAAAGACCTATACTTGGGTATGCCTCTGTTGTATGGTCTCCTTCATATAGGTGCTACGGAGATTCAATTGAATCTGTTCAAAAGCAATTCTTGCTGTTTGCCTTTAGAAATTTGGATTGGGATCCAATTGCCTCTCTTCCTCCGTATGAAAATAGGTTGATTCTGCTGTCCTTACCGTCTCTTGAGAAACGTAGGCTTGTTCTTGGCGTTTCCTTTGTAATCAAAGTAATAAATGGTGCTATTGACACGCCTTCATTACTTGGTGATATAAGCTTTAATGTACATATCCGCTTCTCTAGGCACTTTATCTTGGTTAAGCTTAGTCAGTGTAAATTTAATTATGAGCTGTTCAATCCGCTCAGAGTCGTTTGCAAGAACCTAAATGACGTCTACCACTTATTCTCGTTATCGGACTCTTTAAAGTCCATTAAAGCAAAATTGCTTAATATGCGCGATCTACCTATGTCGTACTTAAACTAGCTTTTAACCTTAAAAAGTCGTCACGATTCGAAAATGAATTATTGTCAATTATTATCGGTTGCCAGGCTTATGCATGTTTGCGATGGCTTAGGGGTTCATTTGCAATTTGGTCCTTTATCGGTTGTAAGTGTGGGTCTCTGCTGATAGTGTACATGCTTTCTTTTCCTTTTTCTTTTTTTTTCTTCTTATTTATTTTATTATACTTATACTAAATTTTATTATTAATTAATATAAATTTTGTATTATGAGCCAATTGAACACGACTGTTATTTGTTTAGTTGAGTTTCTAGTATAAGTAGAATTAAAATAAATAAATAAAAAGTGCATTTGCATCTATAAGTCTACATAATCTGAAGAGCTAATCGAAATTTGTTGTCGCATGTTGTTATGAGTATGGGAAAAAAGTGAACGATAGACAAGAGCGGCTTAAGGTTTTGAGCCAGGTCCGTTTTTCAAATCAAGTCTTGCTCATCGAAGCCCTTGCAAAGAAGATTACCTTAGAGAGGAGTCCAAGCAGCTCCACTAAAATTAACATCAGACACTGCCTTCTTACACTGCTTGTAATAAGCATAATAAGTTTACACGAATGTATCCAATGCTGACACCGACTTTAGACACATGTCATTTATTATATCAGTTGCTTCAATTATTTTCGGAATCGATTTAAGCATGTCCGACAGTCTCATGTTGGTCATGTTTAATCTAAAAGTTGTAAGTTTTGCGATATTTTTAAAGTGTGTGCCCCACACACTGCGGGCTAAATTAAGTTCGTAGATGAAGTTGCAGTTTTTGTACCCGTTACGGGGTGAACTCATTTAGTGACGATATTTGCAACATTCAGACGGAAGGTTCAGAGATTCTACATAGTATATATACACTATTCACCAGACTTAGGCATGTTTGTCTGTCCATTTGTGTTATGTCTGTTGCAAGCATTCCGCCGGTCCCAAAAATGCAGTCGTCGGCTTCAAATTAAGCAGCAGAAAAGTTGGAAATTCTTCCACGCAAATTCGTTTTGAAATCGGGCCAAAATGATCAAAGAACATGCTCACAGTACAACATAACCTGAAAACACTTCTGTTTGCTCACTTTACTTACGAGCCGTAAGAAACACTGATAAAAAGTTGCATTTGTATTCAATGGGTTGTCCTGCATCAATCGTAGACAGACAAAAAAATGGAATCGGTTACGCCTACTCGATATTGTAGGGTATTAGAATTTCGTTATTTTGCCAGAAATGTTTGAAAAAAGAAACGTCAGAGGTCTATATATTATCAAGTAGAGCCAAATCTAAATCCTTTGACTTGTACGATTAGTACGTCTGTCCATCTGTCCATCTGTCTGTTAGTTGCAATGATCGCAAAAATGGAGATATCTGTTTCTTATTTGGCAAAAATTTTGCAGATCATTGCATGCCTTGCATGGTTGACATCGAAAATGAACCAAATCGATAAAAGTGCAATATAAATTGAAAAAATCTCGGCCCTCTGGGTTCACTGCCCACAACGCGTAAACGACAAGAGACACACTATGTAAATTTCAATTTTTATACCACAAAAGTAGAAAACACGTAGCCATGCCCATCGAATGTTGTAGAATATGAAACCGCAATTTTTCTTTTTTTTTTCCTATTGTTTAGTCTTTTTTCGATAACGGTAATGTGTGTCTAAGCGATGCAATCGCGGCATATTGGTTAATTGGTTAATTCGCGAAATTGAAAATTTGCAAATTGAAAGTTTTGGGCAGTTTTGGTGTTAGGTAATAAATCAAACGAATCAACACCAAAATGTTAGCTTATTAATAACATTTGAACTTTTCATGTAATCGTAAAAAACCTGTCAGCGGAGATTAACAATTAACAAATCAAGTGTGATAACAATCTAAGAAAAAACTTTAATCCTCCCAGTGACGAGACAAGAAAAAAAGAAAAGAAAAGAAAACAAAAAAAAAAAAAAACAAAGCTATTAACAATCATATGTGCATACATCGAACCCTCTCTCTCTCTCTCTCTCTCTCTCGCTATCTCTCTCTCTCTCTCGCTATCTCTCTCTCTCTCTCTCTCTCTATGCATTATCATATACTCATCATATTACATCAGGTTTTAATATGAAAGTAGCTAAAGGAATTCAGGTGTAAAATTACACCCTAATTTAAAAAGAAGCTTTAACAGAATGTAGCCAACTATAAAATAATGTGATAAAAAGAAATAATAATAAAAAAAAAAGGAAAAAAAAAACAAAAGTATCCGATTACAACAATAAACAATTGGCTTAATTAACTTGTCGTTCGGTTAGAGGAGTGCAATGAGAAAATAACAGAAACTAACTTTAAACTCTTCACATATACTAATCAGTTACAGAACTCTTTGATGCGAAAAGACGAAGTTTTAAGTGAATATTGAAGGCAGACAAAACAATGATTGAAGCTAAAAACGATATAATCTGTGAGCAGAACCTTGAATTAGCTTATCAGGCTTCGAAGCCTGGCTTGCTTCTTGGCCGTATTGTTCCCACTACTAAGAATATCCATTAGGATTACTTTGAAAGGTTTCCTACAGACACACACATAAAGCAGTAGTAAGGGATTGAGAGCATGCGAGCATCACACGGCCATTGAAAATCGATGGAAGAAGGTATATAATATTAGCGCGTCATCGAGTACATTGGAATAGAGCATACACTCTGAGTGTCCACATAAAACTAAAAATAGCTGCAGGCTCGTTAAACATAAAACTATAGCATAAATACTCTTAGGGTTAAGATGTATCTAGAATTTTATATAAATTTTCTCTCTAAACCGCGATTGGAATAACATTTAAATACGAGACTATGAAGGACAGATGGAATGAGTAGGATAGGTTCGAAGGGCGAGTACACCGGACTTCGCGCTAGCATCAACTGATTGACAACTTCGATCTTTCGATTTGTAACGTTCTCGCTTATACACATGCTACGGTTGTTTCCATCCCGTCTATCTTAACTGACATGACCATCTGCAAAGTCTGCCATCTAAAGTCGCAATCAGACACTTTTGACTCTTAACCACTAACCTATAGGATTTACATTAATTTTTGTTTAGCTTATCTGCTAGAGAAATAAGTCCTTATAGGGTTTCCCTAAGCAACCTGTCTACGAGCACTTGTGAAGTATGTTATCTATGGCATTTGCTGATGCTATCTTCAAGCTTTAAAAGCTTGCATAAAACGAGATCTAAGAGCGGCAACGTCGCATTTATGGTCGAATTCACGGCTAACAGCGATCAACTGCAGCAAAAGCTTTATAAGAAGCGTATGGTCAACCTCTTCCTATGAAAGTTCTGAGCTTGAAACTACCTTGGTAAAGTATTTTCGAAGCTATAAGCCGCTTGGGATGAAACCACAACACAACGAAAGATTATTAGACAAGTATTCGAAAAACAAGCAGAGACGAAGACGTGTTGCAAAGAGAACGTTTAGAAAGCGTTGCCAGCACCGAATTGAAATGTGGTACCATCTCCGTTTTATTCAGCAGACATTGATCATTGTGTCGATTAGCAGGCTAAGATTTATTGTCTGAGCATCGCCTTAAATTTCATCTCATTTTTCTTATGATAGATAGATTCTGCTGAAGAAGGACTTAAAATACTAGATCTCCTTTTAGCAATGCAGTCTTGAACTGAGAGGGTAAGTAAGGGCTGCGTAAAGTGTCTTGTGTTTTGCTATGCCCAACAGGGGCGATTCTACTCACATATTGGAATATCGCTGTAGACAACGGGAAATTAACAGTCCTCTAACAGGACTCTCTCTCTCTCTCTCTCTCTCTCTCTATACAATGCATAGATTAGAACAAAAACCTTAACTGATTTTTACATATTCGTTCTAGCCTGACACGACTATGCGAGCTTCCCCCTACACTCTTCTCTCCTTTTCGATTTGTATCGACTAAAAGTCTCTTCTCATACATATTTTGTTTTCTTTTTTTCTTGTTTTTTTTTTTTTGTAAAACGATCTTAGCAAACTGAACGTTATTTTACTAAGATAAAGTTTAAACATTAATTAAAACACAATTTTACTTAAAAAGTATTTGTAAAAGCGACTCGTATTTCATTCGAGAAAAGTTACTTACCAGCTTTAGAGTTCTTCTTAAAAGGAAATTTTATATTCGTACACATGTGTGTCTTTGCATAGATAAAGTAAGTTATCAAGTATTTGAAGAAAAGAACGATGGAATGTGTTTTCGTTTCTCGTGGTATGTGAATGGTTTGGAAAGTTTGTTATGTTATTTAATATTTTTAATAGAAATTGATAAGAAATTCTAGTTTTTTTACATATCGAAGTATAAAGGCACGTGTATGAGTGCGTTTATGACACTTATAAATATATAAGCACTTACAAGCAAATATATGTTTTTTTTTTTTTTCAAGATTATGGAAAAAGAGTCTGAAGTCAAAGTATGAATATATTGCTGAGTATGAGTATATTGCGTCTGTTACGGCGTAGTTCCACAAGGAAGAAGCCTCTTGTTCAGGTATACTTTTAAAAGCAGAGCAGTTGTAGGCTTAAGAATAAGTCTGCGTTTTTAAGTTCCTAAGATTGACGACTGCATCTAGCAAAGCGTCTTACTGGCGTCTTACGCCTAGCAAGGCAGTCATTTGGGTATTAATCAAGAGTCTTCTTCTTTAAACCGCTACAGCTTAGCTATACTTTAGACCATTCTCTCCACGGCATTAATTTTCAGTGTTCTTGTATGAAGAAAAGTGGCATTTATGGCCCAAGTTTTGGATGGGTTGCCATCACTCTCTGCTTGGCAAAGGGCAGCGTTTAGACATTAAATAGAAACATATGACTTTGTATGGTTAAAAGCTGTCTGTGCTTCTAATCACCACCGTCCCTGTAACATGACGGTGTTAGGTATACCTTTACAGGCTAGGAGCAGGTTAAACACCGATTATAGCCTTCAAGTGTTAAAAGCAACCTTTGGTTTTAGTCCAGTGTTCTACATTATGCCCGTTATGTGTGTGTGCAGCGAAACATTTTTTTCCTTTTTTTTTTTTATATGTCTAAGGATGTCCCTTACAGGTGTAAACTGGTGGTGGTTGGCCAAGAAAAAGTGTACAAAGACATATGGAGTGACAGGCCGCATCCTATCGAGCAAATATTATGCGTTCACCAACTAAGCGTGCTTACTATAGTTAAGGCCAAGTAACCCGTGAATATTGGCTTGGTGGTCTCGCTCGGCTTGTCGACAGCCCTCAAGTATTAACGAAATATGGATAAATATAAGTCATTAAAATGCACCTATTCTTCTTCTTACCACATAACCTATGGCAAGTTCACTTTTTGCAAACGATTGCAGTGTACACAATTGCATTCTCCCAGCATTTTTTCTACATCTACTCCTGTTCTTCCCTTTCTAATATCGTATCATACAAATTGCATAGGAAACTATTTTCAATCTGTGCAACATGTCTACGTGAAAAAGTTATTGGTTTTATGCGAACAACACACTCATCATTAAATAGTGCCTGAGTTGACGGGGTAGGCCTTTGCTGTAACAGTAGTAATAATAATAATCGTAGTAATGAAATTATACACGTCCACTTGTCCGTAGAAAGAACGATCTCTTTCCCTTTCCCTTTGTCCCTTTTGCTGCTGCGTGTTCATGTGCCTTTATATCGGAATTGGATTAACGACTGACTGAGTCTTAAGAAAGTGCTGGTGAGTCTTAAGAAAATGGTGTTTTTTTTTTTTCGACTTTACGCTAATAAGTTGTATCTCCCTATGTTTGAGGAAAAATACAGGTCATCTTATGCGTACGCATGTATGTATGCATACTTGTAAGTAATCATATTTGAAATTTTAATTAAATTTCCAATTTGTTTTTACTTTAAAAGCGAATATACTTGAATTTTATAATTTTATACATACATACATACATACATACATATATACATAATAGAAGAGAGAAATTATTATTATTATTATTATTATTATTATAATAAATTAAATGCCCATGCATGTGCATACAAATGCTAGAGGCACGCAATTCAGCAAAAAAAAAAGAAACATTTTTCATTGTTATTATTATTATGATGATTTTTTTTGTGTTAAAAAGGCGGTTTATTTATTTATATAATAAATTGTTAATAATACAATGTCTGTAAATATGTATTCGACTCAAGGTGTTAACGTTGTTGTTAGGCTTCACTTATAAAATATTCAACTAATCAATGAGCTTAACTAAGTTGGCGATAGTAACAGTATCAGTAACAGCATGCAGTCTAATATAATATGATAACGATTACTGAGCGGCACAGTAGCAGTAGCAGTAAACTGAATTTGATGGTTGACTTAACTAATAGCGTTCATAAGAGGCTTTATTTGTTTTACATTTCAAGCATTTCAATGAGATTTTCACGAATTTCATTAAATTCAAATATTTTGCCATCGGAATTAATTATATTATAATTAGTCAGATAGACTTGAAAGATTCGAAAAATCATTCCAAAACCCCATAGACTAATCATCATTTAAAATGAGGCGATGAATCAAAACATATTATTTTCATTTTCTCTTCGTTATATTGTCTCTTAAGATTAATAGAATATCGACGAGATTTTTCTAATTCATTTAGCAAATTCATTTAATCAATCGCCTTATAAAGAGAAACTTGTCGTTCTACTATTTTGGATCGGAATGATTTATTCAACGAAATTTCAAACATTTAAACTTCAACGAACATGACTACGAGAACGAGAATTTTAAAGCAAACAATTACGACCCCATCTTACAGTTCTTCAAAAAAAAAAAAAAAAAAAAAGGATTTCCAAATTAAAGCGTTAGGGTACGAGGATGGACCGATGCGGACTATTTTCAAGTGTTTGTCCAAATTTCATTAAAACATCCCAAGAACTTGTGGCCTGTAGATTGAATACAAGAAAATTGGATGGACAGACAGACAAGCTTATGATGACAAGATGTAAAAATATTATAAGTAGAAAAATGGTATCGATTCGTATACCTGGGCGCAAAGAGGTCAGTTAGAGGTCACACTATTCCAGTCTAACTGTAATTGGCTTTTCTTGCGACTACAGCTAATTTAGTGTTGCGTTCGGCTAGTGGCCGCACAAAACGATTTGATTCTTAAAAATACACAGACAGATTTGCAGTACTTTCGCGTACGCAATCCGGATAGTAGGATAAACAAATTAGTATAACTACAGTCTGCTATAGTGATCGTAAAATTATCACTTATAGGTATTTGCAATACTTACCAGTACACGATTTTCCGTTTTATCACCTTTTGTTTCTATTTTCACCATATATTTGACTAATATTTTTGTATGACGTCCCAATATGGATTTAACGCTTTCTGTAAGATTGGAAAACAGAGAAAAGTAAATAAATGAAAGAAAACAAAAAAACAAAAGGGAAAAAGTAAATATACATATACATATACATACGCATTGTATGAAATATACAATATAATAAAAATTGAAATAACAATAATAATAATAATAATAATAATACAACGGAGGCATTAAATGCTCAAACGCTTATGACATTTTTAAATTAATAACATCCGATGTGTGATATAATGCACGAACTGTTTGCTGCTTTATAATAAATATAAATAAAAGTTAAATATGTTGATTGCTCACGACAGCGAAACATTTTAAAACGAAATAATCGTAAAATTTCATTTTACTTTTTATTCTTTGAGATATTGTTTAAAATTAAAAACAAAACATAATTCACAATACAAGAATGCATTGAAGAGAACTTTTCCGCAAATTTAATTTTACAAAGCATAAGCTGGCAGCAATCAATTAATAACACTACACTGGCTTCGAACGGCGTTCAAGTGGTTCACGCAAATGAATAAATAAACAAAAGTTAAATTATTGCGAGTACAAATTAGTTTGGCCCCCACTTCCAGGGCCAAAGTATAAGTAAAACTATGCAGTGCCTAATGAAATTATGACTTCTTCATTTCAAGGTATTGTCTTCAAGCTTTTAAGCTACACCCGCTACTGTTGAAATGGTTGGTGGTGCTCGGTACATTTGGGTACATTTGCTTCAGGCGGCGCGGCGCGCTTTCAGCCAAAAGTTGTTTGATCCTACTCCGTGTCTTCTTCGTTTGTACGGTGAAGGGGTGACACATAAGAGGCTCTTAAGTCTCGGCCGAAGTTTCCCCTCTTTCTGGTGTAGCAGCGTGGTGGAAACCCATTTCCGCGTTACTCCAATTGCTATTATTGTTTCGAAATCTGTTTGAGCTCTGTTTTGCTTTGCTCACAATTTTTTTTCCACGGTATCGTTTCCTCTATTAACGAAAGAGACTCGTACAGACTACCTCCGCCAATGACCATGCGCATTCCATGTTTCTGCAGTTTCATCAACAGATTGTATTCCCCAACCAGTTTAAGGTTATATGGAGGCACCGAGATGCGAACTCTGGCCGGAGGTTTTCGTTATTCTTCTTCCACTATTTTCTCGTCGCTTACATCTAGCAATAAGTGTGTGAGGAGCACTCGAACCAATCTTCCAGCTTCAGCCGGACTTGCGAGAGTTTCGCTGGGATATTAGATATTTATGGTGCTAAATAGGCCTCGCCCCGTTAGAGGGAAGGACATTCCATAAATATCTTTTCTTTCTTGAACTGCAGGTTAACCTACCTTTCCCTGTGTGAAGCGTTGGTGACGTCTCTTCGTTCCGTGTGCCTTTGGGTACCGTAGGTTAAGCCTTCATATCAGGTGCCGCATACTTACGCATCTGTATAAATAATCAAACTAAAGCACACACGACGTAGTTTGTTGAGTAGTTAGAGTTACCACTGATAAACAGTGAATGGCGTCACGATATCGCACGCCCAAAAAACGATTATGCAGAGTAGCAGAGTTTTTAATATCGGCGATAAAGTTCAATACCCATGACGTTGTCATTTGGGATGGGCCTGACGGCAGAGCGTGGTATATTATGCTTTGTTCTGCTACCAATAATAATTCGTGCAATTCCACTAAAAAGGATACAGGAAAACTCTTTCAGGGATTGTTTGCAGCCCTATCAGCCGACATTACTCCTTCGGATTAAAGCGGGTTTCAGCAGATGACTTACTGTTCACGCGGTCGGAGTTTCGTTTCTTATGACGATACCCAAACATGGGTTCTTTTGGGAATGGCCTCCAAAACCAACGGCGTTTTAACGGAATGAAATCCGAAAATTGCCTAAGAGGTGAGAAAAAGTAATAATCAACTAAGGACCATACTTTGATAAATCTATTCATTCATCTTCTTCTGAAGCAAATGAATTTTTGATCACAAACACGGTCCATAACTTAAGGGGACAAGACAAAAATTGGCGACGACAAAGCTCAAGATAAAGTAGAGTCTCTTTACAAGTTATAGCATTCGAACATATAACTTCATCGGAAGCAAGAAAAGGGTTGCATTTTATTGTATTGTCATGTAGGCAATCTGTACCGCTGCCTGAAAAATCGATTGTACTCTTGCAAACTTCCAGGTTTAGGATTTTTTTCAATGCCGCCAGCTCCTTTGGCTTGGAGCACAGGACTGTGTCTGGCGTCATGATGCATTCGCTAAACCCTTCATGTCCTAAGGTTTTGTAGCTGTACTAGCATTCTCATAGTCTATAAAGGGATGTTTTACACCTGCCTTGACCGAATCTGCTCAATCTGCCGTGGAATCCGCTGATCAAGCGAAGGTCGCCCCCTTCGTAGTCCCATTAGTTTACCTGCTATACCGGGAGATATTACAATATAAAGATATATTTCGTTTGTTGTTGTCCTGCTGAACGCTTCCAATGGCAATCTGATTCTTTTTGTGTCCATTGCAATAACAGTATAGTAGTACGACTCCTTTGCATGCGAACAAAAGATTTCGAATCTATCAAGGTTCCTCGGGCTGTCCTATTGGCCAAACGGTCAGCCTCTAAGAAAACGATTGGATTCTTGCATAAATTATCACTGCCTTCCGACGCCGTTACCTATTTTTACCGACTGTGTATTTGTCAGAACAATATTTATTTTTAACGCTCAATGCACCGATTGATTGAATAGGTCCATTTTTAGCTACAGTCACAAATTTCGAATGGCATTTATTCAATTTCGATTTCGCTCTGGATAATGGATAAGCATCAGACCAATGTTGGATACATGGTACAACTTGAAGATATGTCCGAAAAATTACGCTCTTCTTCTTGTTTTATTGAACTTCATACAAACACCCAATGTTTATTGAACTAAAATGACTTTGGAAACTTTTTTTTGAAAAAACGAAAACAAAAACATAAAGCATTTTCAAAGACTCTTTTATATATATAATGAAAAAAAATCAAATTTCATCTGTCAACTCATTTTATGAAAGACTTTTTGGCAAATCTTTCACTTCATATAACAAATATAGCAAATAATTATTTTTGCATATACATGCATATGCATGCGTGTGCACTTTCCATTTAATTTAATTATTGCAATTAAAAATTCATATCCCTTGTGCATGTATGTACATACATATGTAAATTATTGTATTAGAAATCTAAACTTTTGTAGGAGGAAAACTGTGTAATAATTCATTACTTATGTTGATTACATTTTCGTGCATTTGATTATGTTTCTTGATCAAATATTTGAAAAACATACGTTATACACAAGCATACAGCCACGGCCACATAATCAAACATACATTTCACATATCGTGAAAAAAAAAAATGCAAAAATTTATAAAAATTCAAAAAAAAGCGCTACAACAAACAAACACACGTACGTATTTTTTTGGTTTAAAATTATTAAGAAAATTTTAAATTGTTTTTATAATTTACATACAAAAAATTCGTATCTTAAGAATAAGCAAAGGTACGAGAATTCCTTGGACGTAGAAATAGCATAATAGCATTGCTTTACCCGAAAAATTGATCCGGTAGTCCATGCTTGCTTGCTATCGACAATCCAAGCTCCTGACATGTCCGTTTCGTATATATTCTACCTTCGTGTCTATCCGAAAGTGAATGTTATTTGACCTTAGTTTCAATTCGATCCACATTTTGTGCTGTCCGATATAAAATATTAATGTCATTTTGTTGGTCACATGAAAGAACACTAGAACGTCGTAACGTTCATCGTTCCTTAATCGCACTGCCCGCGTTTAGAACAATCTATCAGAAATAGTATTCCAGATATTTGTACTTTCGTAGTGGCTATGTTTAGCGGGAAGAGCTTGCTTGCTCAGTGCAGTTCTCAAAAAAAAAAAAAAAACAGCGGGTTTAGGTGGGACTCGCTCTCACCAAAAGATCAAATAGGACAATAGGGGTCTTCACCTGACGCTTGGGGGCGCTGAGTTCACGGCAAGGCACGGCACGGCACGGCAATAAGCATTTAGAGATATCTTTTTCCACTTCCAAGTTCGAAACATTCACAAATATTACTCATTTCTCAGTAAGAGGGTAATAAAAGCCGTTCATAGAAAACAGATTTCTCTCTTTCTCTCTCTAATCATGTGTGCAAAAAGTTGCTCAAGACGTAAGCGCTTTCTTACGAATCAATTCAATTAAGCCAAGGGCAAATTTTGTTATTAATTAAGCCAAGGCCGTAGGCCCAAATCATTTTCAATAGAATTTGGCCAAAACATAGAGAGCGTATCAAATCTCATCAAAATAATGAAAAAATTTTGGTGCGTAGGATGAAGACGAGGAAACAAGAAGAATAGGTGAACAAACACGCTTAAATCGTCGAATCGGCAAGTGATTCCGAATCGATCGGTATAGTAATCAATGAGTCTATTTTCAGTCCTTCTGGAGTTGGATTTATCCCCACAAACGTAACTGGCCCTTGCACCACCCGCTATAAAGAATAAAAAATTATATTTTGCTAAGAAGAAGTGTCTTCTTTATAATAGCGCTGCTGAACAATGTTGCCAACTAGTTATAAAATTTTCTTTTATTAATACATTGATTGAAATTGACGCTATTTACACGTCTCCGGCTGTCTATGCAGCTGTAAATGGAACGCACCTCTCCCACTGGGAGCTATGAATTATGCACAGAGTTAAATATTAACATTATATCAATTTGTAATAAATTCCTTCGTGACCTAAATGCATAGACATGGGAAACCGACAAATCTATGTAGGTAACGATAATGATAATGACGTTGATGATTATGATGGCGCGATGGCTTGCTGCCTATCTTATTCATTTTTCTTTCACACTCCGGGGATTTTAGTTTATTTAATCATTTATGCAATTTTTTCCATTTTTATTTTTAATTAATCGAGCAGAATACTTTTAGGTTTTTGCATTATGAGCCTACTTGCATGTAAATGAATAAATAAATGTAAATGCAAGCTCTTGTATTCGCAC